GTCCAACCGCTCCAGCTGCCTCAAGTCCAAGCCCAGGATGTGGTAGTCCGAGCTCTCCAAGCACAGCGAGGAGGCCTGGTCCCCGCTCTGGAAAGGCCCGGTTAAGGCACACAATTCCGGCGTCTCTCTAATCCTCTCCGCTTTGCGCCGCGCCACGTCGGGGAAATCCACCTCCCAGACGGCAGCCCCGGACAGGCGGCCTGCAGCTTTGAGGCGAAAATAAAGCGAGTCCGAGCCGGCGCCCAAAGACAGGATCTGGGCGCGAGGCGCTCCCGGGGCGGCGCACGCGCGTTCCAGGAAGGCGCGCACGCAGTGCCGCACGGCGCGTGCGCGGACGTAGTAGCCGCGGTGGATGAGCGGCGCGCGGCGGGCGGTCCCCGGAACTAGCAGCGCGGCGAAGGTGTCGTGCACGTACCCGCGCGCGGCCAGGGAACTCTTGCTGAGGGCGCTGCTGTCGTTGGTGCTCTGCACTGCTCCCGCCCGACGCTGGCGGCTCCGCGGACCCATGGCCTGCAGGTACTCATGAGCCCCAAGTCTGTCACGGAGCTGCGCTGCTCTTCCGTTCTAGTGATGCACCTCGCGGACTTCCGTACGGAAGTACCACCCCTGTGACTCCTCTTCCGGAGAGAAGTGTGCGTCACTTCCGGGAAGAGCGCGACTCGCGGATTGGAATCAAGGGGGTTGTACTCTGTGCTAACGTTCCACTGATGGGCTTCTTTGACTCTCCCGGACTGCTTTTTCGCTGGAAGACTGTCCGAAACGGCTTATTGTGGACACGTAAACTGTCAGGGAGGGTCGGGTTGTCATTGCTACAAGCTTTTCCCTGTGAAGGGAAATTTTTATCTCGGTCCTAGTTGACTCACGTGTTGCCAGAAATCTTGAAGAGGTGAGTCTGTGGGACTGACAGCCAGAACGTGGACGGGAAAGGTCTACATCGCCTTATAATAATCCCTCTCAATACCATAATGCAACTTTAAGGACATGAATATAAAATGGGCAAGTAGAGGAAGGGGTCGATCCTTGGATAATAAACTACTACTGCTAATTTAGTTGGTGCTTTAAATGTTACAAAAAGAGATCCCACTTAAGCCTGAGAAGTCAGTGAAGTCTGGTGCAAAATTAGCAAATCTTTACAGAGGTGGTTGTTTCACACAGTAAAATATTCCCCGCAGATATATACTATAGATATATACTATTGATTGTCTTGTATTCCTGGCTCTGTGCTAAGCTGCCAATGAGTAAATTACTCAGCCCCAGTTTCTCAGCTATAAAGTGACATTCCCCTCTACTTTCAAAATTCTGTGATTCTAGGGTAATAAGAAAATCACAGCGGAGAGGTGATTGTTCCCTCGTGTTATGGTCTGAATCTTGTTGGGTGTTTAAAATAGTAACCATCGAGTTTCTGAGTTGGGTGTGTGGGTATCATCACCAGTAGGAAACTGCCTCCAGAGATATTTAAGGAGACTTGTAATTTATTAATGGGGATTTGGTGGCTGGGGACTGAGAAGGAGAAGATGACTAAATGTGTGGTTACCTTGAAGCAATATAGCATAATGATTGAAAGTAAGAGTTTTTGGCTCTGGCTGGTTTGGCTCCATGGATAGAGCATCAGCCTGTGAACTTAAGGTTCTCTGGTTCATTCCAGGGCACGTGCCTGGGTTGTGAACTCCATCCCCAATAGGGGGCATGCAGAAGGCAGACAGTCAGTGATTCTATCTCATCATTGATGTTTCTCTCTCTCCCTCTCCATTCCTCTCTGAAATATACACTGAGTGGCCAGGTTATTATGGTCTCTGAACACATAATAAACTGGCCACTCAGTGTATTATCTTATCTTACATAATAAAAGGCTAACTATGCAAATTGTCCCTTCAACCAGGAGTTCGACCTGCAGGCAGGCGGGCCAACCGCCCATATCCCCTCCCCCTGGCCAGGCTGGCGGGACCCCACCATGCATGAATTCATTCATCGAGCCTCTAAAATATATACACACACACACATTGAGTGACCAGAGATCATAATAATCTGGCCACTAACTTAATAAACAGTAAATACAAATGTAGAAAGGTCTTATCTCAGTGTGTTGCCTTTCAGCTTCTCACTGCAAAATCCAGCCCAAGGCCAAACTGGTGTGGTTCAGTGGTTGAGCATTAACCCATGTACCTAGAGATTATGGGATCCATTCCATGTCAGGGCACATGCAGTGGTTTCGGGTTCAATCCCCATTAGGGAGCCTGCAAGAGGCAGCCAATTGATGTTTCTATTTCTCCCTTCCTCTCTCTTAAAAAAAAAAAAAAAAATCTAAACCATGAAAGTTGAATTTTGTAGGGAATGGTATTGTTGATAGAAGTATCTTAGGCAAGGATCAGTGAAACAATTTTTTCAAGTGTGCAAAGATTGTGCTTGTTTTATGACTTTCTAATAGGTTAATACTAGAGGCCCGCTGCTAGGGTCCCTAGCTGCTGCTGCTACCGGCCTGGGCCTCCCTCCCTCCCTGGGCCAGCCCCACCCCCTGGTCGAACTCCCAGACTAATTCCTGGTCAAGGGGACACCTTGCATACTACACTTTTATTATATAGGATTGTAGCCAGTGGGTCAGTAAATTTACTCACAACTATTTGAAAGTTAATCTGGAGAATGGTTTGAATGTGGCACAAAATAAGGTCAGGATCCTAGAGTAGGTTATTATCAGCCTGCTGTATAAAATGTCTTAAATGCTTTTTTAGGCTGTTGTCAAACCATGAAAGTTCTTTCTCACAATTCATAATAATAAAGCTGTTTTGCCATATTAAAAAATAATTATTTCATAAACAATTCCTTTAAATAAATAACTTAAGTATTCTAAATGTTAATTTATTATATTTTTATAATTATTAAAAATTTTAATTTATTAAAATTACTTCAAAAAGTAATCAAGTTTTGCATGCTTGTTGTAAAACCTCAAGATTGCACAAAACTATATAAGGTAAATAAAATAAAATTCTCTCTTCTGGCCTTTGCCACTTCCAACCCACATTCTAGGGGCAACAGTTTTCTATGTGCCCTTTCACATGTGTTTTAGGAATAAAGATATAAATAAATGAAAGAGAATGTGTGCATGTGTGTGAGTGTGAGTATATATGTACATGCATGCTTTATTCATAAATGTCATCTTTCTAAACCATGTATTTTGCCACTTTTTAGTAATAACACCATATCATAGAAATCTTTCCATATAGTCATAGATATTCAGTTGAGTGGATAGATAGATAGATAGATATAGATAGATATTGATATATAGATATATAGATATACAGATATAGTTAGCCAGTACCTACTGATGGACATTTAGGTTTCCAATTTTTGTTATTATAAATAATACTATAATATTATAAATAATATTATAAATGTATTTGTATATATCCTATAAGATATAAGATAAATTCTTAACAGAATTATTGGATAACAGTGTGTGTGTGTGTGTGTGTGTTGATACATATAGCCAATTTGGTTTCTAAAGAGACCACACCAAGTTCTGTTCACACCAGAACTTTTATTTAGACCTTCACCAGTATTAGGTATTATTCTTCTGAGATCCACAATATTTTTTTCTGGATAATTTTATAAGTTAAATCTTTCATGAACTTTAAAAGTCAATTTTTAAGGAATGCTTTTGAGATTATTTTCATTAACATTTACTTTATAAGTCAATTTATGAAAAATTGACTTTACCTATGTAAGATAAAGTATATTTTCCCATTTTAACGACATCTTTTATGTTCTTTAGTAGAGATTTTACACATATTGATTAAATAGTCCATTTTTTAAAATGAATTACTATTTAAGCACTTACTATATGGTAATGTTCAATTCATTGAAATGCCATTTTTAACTCATGCTGAGTTGGCCTTCCTATGGGTTCTATGGCTTTGTCTAGTCCTGTACAATCTATATTCTTTATTGCCCAGTTTAATATCTTGGTAACTTATTAACCCCTCTCAGTATCAATTTAGAGATTAGTAATGTGATAAAAAAAATATTTATTTTGCAAGGTTATTGGTGAGATTAGATATTATATTATTGAAAGTGCTTATCTGGCAGGTTCTGAATGGAAACTGCTATTATCATCAACGTCATCATTATTAATATGTGAGAATCCAGAGAGTCAAGGTGGCTACTTTGAAAATCACTAAATTTCATTTGGAATTTTATCTTAATGTATAAGCCACCTTTGGCGATGAAGGGCAAATTAGGATTTATCACCTGTAATGTGATAGGTTCTAGCCATAGTCCTTGTCCTTAGGAAGCTTATAGTCTAGTGAGGAAGACAAGTAAATCAGTGATTGAAATACAGTTTGATAAAGCACTGAGTGAAAGGTAGTCACTGGAGTCCATGGGAGCATACAAGAAGGGAATTTTAAGTTACTGTATCAATCCTCACAGCTACTCTGTACTTTTATCCCTTTTTTACAAATAAGGAAACTGAAGCTGTGAAGTTAACCGACTTCTAAACTGTGAAAACTAGTAAAAGGACTAGCCATGCCCACTGAAGCCAACACCTCTGCTCTTCCTTTATATACTTTAAGCAATTCAGAATGTAAACTTTTTTTTTTTTTTTACCTAAAATAGGCCTTATGAATTTCTAGTTTTAGAAGTAGTATTATAGAAAATACTAAGTAAGGAATACATCCAACTGAATTGCAGATTGTAATCCACTCTTATTTTTTTTATTTCTAGTTCATATTATTAGCTTATTAGCTTTGGAGGGACTTTTCGTCTTTTGAAGAATAAATTCACAAAAGTCCTGTTTCTTTGCTGTTATGTCAACATCTGAAAATGTAAACATTTATTTAAATAGGTGAAGCTGAACCCCGAGCAACATTTCAGCTAATTTTATAAAAATGTGTGGAAATAAAGCCATCTGAAGGAAACCCAAGACCACAAAATTTACTGACTGAACTGCATGGTATTGTTCATACCCAAAGAGTGTTTGGAGAAAGACCTTTTTATTCTGCTAAGTCATGATGAAAGCAGAAGACCAGGAACAATGGAAGAGAACCTTTTTCTCAGAACTACCTAAAGTGGTGAGAATTCAACCACAGAATTCTAGAGTGGTTGCTAATTATAATGACTCTGTGTTGTTTCTTTTCACAAAAGAAAAGTGAATTTTACTGTTGTAATTTATAAATTTTAAAAGTTGTATAGCTAAATCTAATAGGCAATTTGCCTACTATAGATTGCAAACATCAAGTGCACGGTGTGATGCTATGAATCTAGTGGATACTTAATATGTTTTTACTGATTGTATTCTTTTGTGTTAGGAACTTCATGCCCACTTGAATGGATCCATTAGTTGTAATACCATGAAGAAATTAATAGCTAAGAAACCAGGTCTCAAAATCCATGATCAAATGACGATGATCGATAAAGGAAAGAAAAGAACTTTAGAAGAGTGAGTTTGGGGAGATTGTGGACACACTCCCTTTTTTCTCTATCACTATTTTGAGATTGTAAATAGTATGTAAGAATTCAGATTTTAATAGTTAAAGTAACAAGGTAGCCATGTGGTATGGAGAGTATAACTTGACATAACATTTTCCCAGCTGTCTGACTGTTGATAATATTTTTAATGATTTATGTTGTTTGTGAAGTTGTACTATATTGACTATTCTTTAGACTGAAAAGTATAGGCATGCTGACTTATCTCCTATTTGCTCCTACCAACAGGTGATGGTAGGTAGGGTGGGAGAGGTGATGGAGAAGGGAAACTAGTGTATCCCACTTAAAAATATCAGTAATGTTTTCTTTTCAGTCATTGATCTTTTTAGATCAATATAATTTTCAAAAAACCTATTCTGTAGTTCTTTATAAATATACAGGGTATCCTAAAAACATGTATACACACTTCAACAGCTGATAGCTCAATTGATATTTCTTTCTTTTCAGCCAGACTATGCTTTGAACAAAGGAAGTTCATCCTAAATTGCTATTGGAAATTTGAAAACACAGTTGAAGTACAAACATTGCCCTTATAATCATTCAAAGTATGATTTTTTCATACTTTAATTTTTATTCCTTTTTAGATTTAATTAATTTTCATTCCTTTTTAACTAATTTGAAATAATGGATGAAGCCAGACTAAGCTTTGAACAAAGAAAATTTATCCCTGACTTTTTTTTTTATGGGGATACTTAAAGATAAAATTTATGGTACAAAAGATTGAGGGCACACAGATACCAAACAATATTATTTTTGATGTTTACGATTCCATTCCTTCAAGTTATCAGCAGTGCCTGGACCAGAACGGTCATCAGTTTGAAAACAGTTGTTGACAAAAATAATTATTCATTTCTATAGATTCTTTTAAATTTTGAAAATGAACTATATATTAATAAACACTAACTTTATAATCATTCACACTGTGTATACATTTTTTTGGGATATCCTATATAATTACTAAAATCTATTTAATTGCTTACTGAATTTGTCTTGAGTTTTTGATGACTAGAGTCTCTTAAAACGTTTTATTCATGTTATAGATGTTTCCAGATGTTTCAGATTATTCATCAGCTTACTACTAGCCCTGAAGATATTGTAATGGTAAGAAATAAAGCAATTTTCAGATAAGTCTAAAAATTAAGTAATTTATACCCTCTTGTTGCATTGAGTCTGATGAAAAATGTTTTCTGGTTTTTTATGGCAACTCTTTTTAAAACCAGTGTAAGACATTTGCTTAAGAACTAATATCAAAAGCCTGTGTTCATTGGAAAATATATGAGGAAAGAATTAGGTGAATATCTTCTGTTAGATGGAAGACAGTATGGAGAAAATCTGGTCCTGTTTTTCATAATATTTGACCATAGACAGAAAGGTTTTATCCCTATTGTTTGGAAGATTTTTCATTGCCTGGTTAGATGTGATAGAGAGTGAAGAAGTTCAAGAAGTGCCTAGAACTTAAATTATTAATTCTTAGTGAAATTGTACCTTTCCTCTAAAAATGTAGGACTAAAGAACACATCTGTGTTCTCTTATCTGAAGTTCTATGATACTATGATACTATATCTAATGATACTGGTGTCTGTATCACTGATCTAATTAGGATGGCATTTAAAATGTCCTCTTTGCTCAGCTGATGTGGCTCAGTGGTTTAGCATCGACCTATGAACCAGGAAGTCATGGTTCAATTCCCATTAGGGCACGTGCCTGGGTTGCAGGCCCAATCCCCAGTGTGGGGTGCACAGGAGGCAGCAAATCAATGATTCTCTCTCATCACTGATGTTTCTAATCTCTCTCTTCCTTCCTCCCTGAAATCAATAAACACATATTTAAAAGGATAAAAATAAAAAATGTCCTTCTTATAAATTAAGATAAACAAAATCCTGACAGTGTTCTTAATCATTCATCCTTTAGATATTGTTTACCCTGGTCATTTAGAAAAATGCAAAGTAAGAAGTATAACCTATTATTTCTGGAGAGCTAAATTTTGACTGATCAAGAGAGAATTTTTCTCCTTGGCCAAGATTGATCCTCACAATAAACACTAATCACCTTTTGGAGGAGAGTTAATCTAAAACTTTAGTTAAAAAAAGTTGACTGAATGCCCATAATGTTCCAGTACTAGAGACGGGAAATATAAAGACAGATTGACATGGTCCCTGCCAGAGAAGAATTTATAGTCAGGGCTGAATCTGGCAGACACATGTGGACCCCAAGGAAGTATTCTTGGATGTGGGGTAGGGATGATACCACAGGCCTCACTGTGGCCTAGATAAATCTTCCATTGCTCTCATACTATATTGCCAGCAGCCTTCATTTGATTTCACAGGTTTCTCATCACCAAGATATGGAGCACCCTGAATGGTAGAGATGATCACTTCAGCCACTGAGAAGAATTGCCACTTCATACTCATTGTTAGTATACACATTAACAAAACTGGTTAGGCTTCTGGCCCTAACCAGTTTGGCTCAGTGGATAGAGCATTGGCCTGGGGACTGAAAGGTCCCAGGTTCGATTCCAGTCAGGGGCATGTACCTTGGTTGCAGGCACATCCCTGGTGGGGGGTGTGCAGGAGGCAGCTGATCAATGTTTCTCTCTCATCGATGTTTCTAACTCTCTATCCCTCTCCCTTCCTCTCTGTAAAAAATCAATAAAATATGTTTAAAAACAAAACAAACAAAGAAACAAACAAATAAAAAAACAACAAATAGGCTTCTGCATTAGGCTCCTGGGAGCTGGGGTAGAGTGACTTGGGATCGCTGGGCCTGGAGCAATGATAAGATGCAAGTTCCTCAGCCTACAGGGATGAGGCGTACAAAAGCAGCAATGTGGAGCTATCGGGAACAGGTAGGACATATGAATACGTCCTTGAAATATATGTTGCGCCCTGAGACGGACGGTATATATTTTTTGTAATCTTTTTTTTTTAAATATATTTTATTGATTTTCTTACAGAGAGGAAGGGAGAGAGATAGAGAGCTAGAAACATGGATGAGAGAGAAACACTGACCAGCTGCCTCCTGCACACCCCCACCAGGGATGTGCCCACAACCAATATACATGCTCTTGGCTGGAATCGAACCTGGGACCTTTTAGTCCAAAGACCGTCACTCTACCGCTGAGCCAAACCGGCTTCGGCTGTAATCTTTATAACTGTAAATTATAATTTTTTAATTTGATGTTTCCATTTTTTTGTTGGTATTCTTTTCTATTTGTTTGTAATTTTGTATTTTACTTTGTGCTTTATATATAAATAAATGAAAAATATATATTTCATTTATTTTAATTAAGTATAAATAAAAAAATAATAATATAAAATTACGTCCGCTGGGTGTGACGTACTGACACGTCCTAGTGAAAGAGTATGCGCCCGTTGTACGTTGCGTAATTAAAAAGGGCTAGAGAAGCCTGGTTAACAGGCTAGAGAAGCAGTGCCACTGGGTCTCGTGTGCAGAGGCTGCAAGCTCATGCTCGGTGGTGGAGGAAGCAGTGGTGTCTCTCTTGGTGTACGGGTGTCATGTGATTTTTGAATGCTGTTGTGCATACTCTGAGACTGATCCTCTAGACCTTCATTACATTTATGTTATAATAAATTTATTTTTGGCTTTAATTTAAAAGAAGAAATAGATGAGACTCAGACCTTGGATTGCAGTAAATCTGCTAAGGTAGTTCCCTTGTTAAGCACTATCTGTACAACCAGCTAATCCCTGTTCCTTTGCCTTTTGCCTGCTCATGTACACATAGTCAGAGCAGGTTAGGATTAGGATACTGCCCCAGCTGGATGGCTCAGTTGGTTGGAGCATTGTCCTGTATACCAAAAAGGTTGTGGGTTGATTCCTGGTCAGGGCACATATGTAGATTGTGGATTCAATCCTGGTCAGGGTGCATATGGGAGGCATCCGATCAGTGTTTCTCTCTTACATATGTTTCTCTCTCACCTCTTCTTCTTTCTCTCTCTCCCCCCCCCCCTTCCTCCCTCTCATCTCTCTTTCCCCCTTCTTTTTTATAAAATCAATAAATATATCCTCCAGTGATGATTTTTTAAGAAAAGATTAGGATACAACTGTAAGGAGTAAGTCACATTGTTACAATATCCCCAACCTGGTCCTTTTTCTATTAGATCTGGTATTTTTTAGGATTGATGGCAGAGAAGGAAACCTATCATCAGCCTTCAGATACCATTTACCCTGGTCATTTAGTAATTTTTGGATTGTTGAGATTTGTGCTAAATTAGATACAGTTTGACTCATATTTATCACCCACTTTCTTTGCCGAAGAATTTTCCTATATACTGCTGGGGGAAATTTAACCCTGCCTAAAGAATTTCATGAAAAATACAACGTATTCCTAAATATCTTGAATAAGAATCTTAAGTCATGACTTGAAATTGTATTCATTAATGTCTAATCACATTAGCTGTTCATTTCCATATATGTTTCTTTCTAGTACTACACACTCATAGATGGTTTTAACTGGATTTAGGTTTGCCTTCTCTGTTATGAACACAAGGAAATAGAAAAATGGTTAAAAAGGAGAGAAGAAAACAAGAAGTGTGAATGATGCACATATTTGTATTTAATGTGGAAATGAGGGAGTGATGGGAAGATAATGGAAATTTTGCAGTTCTGTCATAGTCTCTATCAGGGGTATGGCAAAACAGGTATTCTTAACCACATGGAAGATTTCCAACATGTTTCCCAAAACAAATGTAATGAGTAAAATGCAGTTGTAGCATTTGGCACTTACACCAACATTATCAATATTATGTTCACTGCTTTTATTATCAGGTCACAAAAGACGTCATTAAAGAATTTGCAGATGATGGTGTCAAGTACCTGGAACTAAGGAGCACACCCAGAAAAGACAATGCTACAGGTAGAATTTAATTATTTCTAAGCCAATGTAATCTTTTCTGTGTGCTTTTGTCATTCATGTGTTTACAAGTTGAGAATATGAAGCACTTACTTTTACTCTATTGTAAAAATAGAATCAACATTCCAAATGTTATGATGTACATTTATGATGCATATTATTAATGAGCAAGTTATTCTTTTAAAAATTAACTCAGGTATTATTTGTTTAAGAAGAATAATAAGGCCTGCAAAAATGTCATTTGTTTTTCTTTTTCTTAATTTCAAAGATGAAGTGGGAGGGAGAGATAGAAACACCAATGATGAGAGAGAATCATTGCTCGCATGCCTCCTGCACGTCCACTACTGGGAATTGCGCTCACACCCTGAGCATGTGCCCTTGACCGGAATTGAACTCAGGACCCCTCAGTCCACAGGGAGATGCTCTATCCACTGAGCAAAATCGTCCAGGGTTTATTTGTTTTTCTTGTTTGTTTTTCTCACTCTGAGAAAAAGACATTTGCTCCTTATAGACATTGTCTTAAACAGGCTAATTCTTGCTACCTGTATCAAGAGCACTTGTGAAACAATGTCACTGAGCAGATTCAGAATCATGTTTTGTAACAATCACTGAAATGAGGTTATTCAGTCACTTCTCAGGGACTAATAGTGTGTTTGGTCAATAGCAAGCTCTGATGTGGTAAAACCCCTCTGAATAGAGATGAGTAGATCTGGATGTTGTCTGGAGAAAATTCCATAAGAATAACATCAGGAGATATTATGTAGTATCTTTGGGTCCCTCTTAGCATTTTGTGATCCTACCAGGACATCTTGCACCCTGATATGTATAGCCCAGTCACCATTCAGGGGATAAAATTTTTTCAACTACATATAGTAAAGTAAGTGTTGACAACTGGGGCAAGCAAAAGAGACTTATCTTGCATATTTTAACTGCAGAATCAGTTATAAGTTATGCTAGTGAGGGTAGTGAGAGGGAAGGATAGAAAAAAACCTACCAATTATTAGAGCTAGGTTGCTCTTTGAATGGAGATTCAAAAGAGAGGTTTTAACCTAAGTATGTAACAATAGGGGAATGGAATGGTAGGCAACAATAAAAATAGTTTCAAATAATGATTGGAAGTATGCTCAGAAGTTAGTGTTAAATGACTGAACAGAATACATATTTACTTAGTAGCATCCCATCTATTCAGAACATCTACACTAATAAAAAGGTAATATGCAAATTGGTTGGGATGCCCTCATGCAATGACCAAACAGCAGGCTGCATGGGGTGACCAGGTCAGCAGGGAGGCAGTGAGGGGAGACCAAACAACTAAACAGCAGGCTGCATGGGGCAACCAGGCTGGCAGGGGGCAGTGAGGGACAATCAGGCCAGCAGGCAGAGGCGGTTAGGGGTGATCAGGCCAGCGGGGGAGGGGAGGCAATTAGGGGCAAGCAGACTGGCAGGGGGGCAGTTACAGGTGATCAGGCCAGCAGACAGAGGCAGTTAGGGGTGATCAGGCAGGCAGGCAGGTGAGCAGTTAAGAGCCAGCAGTCCCGGATTGTGAGAGTGATGTTCAACTGCTGGTTTAGGCCCGATCCCAACAGTCAGACATCCCCCTAGGGGTCCCAGATTGGAGAGGGTGCAGGCTGGGCTGAGGGACACCCCCACCCCCGTGCATGAATTTCATGCACCAGGCCTCTAGTATCTATAATAATAAAAGGGTAATATGCTAATTAAACCAGATATCTTTCTAGATGAAGCTGGGGCTGGAGGGAAGCCCAGGTCTTGGGTGCCTGCTGGCCAGAACGAAGCCTGGGTCCCGGGTGCCAGAGGGAAGCCAGTGCCGGCAGCTGGGGGAAGGAAAGCCTACTCTTACACGAATTTCATGCATTGAGCCTCTAATATACATACATAGAAATTATGCTTAGAAAAACAAAGACAGTGGTTATCTTTGAGTGGTGGATTATGTTAGATTTATTTTACTTCTTTATAATTTCTTGTGCTTTACTAGAGATTTTCCACCAAAAGTAAGCATTTTAGAATTGGGGTACAAAAGTTATTTTAGAGGAGCTTATTCTGGAGAGTGCTTTTCCAGAGCTCCCCAGAAGAGGAATATTTAAGCGCCCAAAGAGAAGCTTTAGAAAAGGGCTTGTTCTTGTTCTTGTTTTGTTAAAACATTAAAAATTTTTTGTAACAATTTGTGAGAGTCATTTTATATCTGTTGAATCTAAGAATCCTTTTCAGTCTTTTTTTTTTTCATTTTATTTTTTATAGTACTTAATTATTTTTCCAAATTTATTAAAGTTCAATTAGTATTTACTAAAATATATCCATAGGGCTGTGTTTTAATTCATCTTTAGCCATGCTTTTGTCACAACATAAAGTGAAAATGTAATTTGTTCATATAGGGATACTAATGCTGAAGGATTAAATAGTTGGTGATCTCTTTACATGTTTTCTTTGTGTCCTTTCCAGGAATGACTAAAAAAACTTATGTGGAATCTGTACTTGAGGGTATAAAACAGTCTAAACAAGAAAACTTAGACATTGATGTTAGGTAAGAAGCATTGTACCTTAGTGGTCACCATTTAAAAATCTAGATTGGGTGAAAATTTTACTACTTTCACTATGGGTGTAATGGATTTTTATAAGTCAACAATAACTGGTTTTTATCTTATAACTAGAGACCCAGTACATGAATTTGTGCACCAGTGGGGTCATTCCGTCTGGCCTGCAGGATCAGGTTGAAACTGGCTCTCTGACATCCCCTGAAAGGTCCTGTATTGAGAGAGGGTGCAGGCCAGGCTGAGGTACCCCACCCGTGCATGATAGAGGCTAGGGAGGGATGTGGGAGATTGGCCAGCCCAGGAGAGGCCACGGGAGGGCTCCAGAATGTGTCCGACCTATCTCACTCAGCCCTGATTGGCCAGACCCCAGCAGCAAGCTAACCTACTGGTTGGAGCATCTGCCCCCTGGTGGTCAGTGCATGTCATAGTAACTGGTCAACTACCTGCCTCCTGGCGGTAAGTTCATGTAATAGTGAGTGGTTGAGCGGCCTTAACATATTACATTTTGATTGGTTGACTGGACACTTAGCATATTAGGCTTTTATTATATAGGATAGAAAAAAAATCAAGAACTCTATTCTATAATGTTGAGAATGCAGCTCTAAATTTATTCATGTGGCAGTAAAATTTTGAGTACTGTTACTGTAGTGAGTATGGCTTTCCATTGCACTTCAGCTAAAATCTAGACTTTTTATTGTGGCCTCCAAGGTTCCATATGATCTGGCTGTCTTGCATACTTTTAACAGCCTCATCTGGACCACTTGTCACTTATTATGGACTGACATCTCTGTTCCCCAAATAGGCGAAGACTTTCCCACCTTAGCACCTTTGTACTTCCTGTAACTTTTGTCTAGGACACATTTTCATCCTTGGATGGCTGGCATCTTCTCATTATTCAGTTCAGCTGTCACTTCTTCAAGAGGGGCCTTCCTTGACCACTTTATCTAAAGTGCTCCCCAAATCCTCTAGTCACTCTGTTTATTTCCTTTATGGCAGTCTTTTTAACCAGACCAGAGATTATCTTGTTTGTTTATATATGCTCATCCTCTAGAGTATAAATTCAGTGAGGCCACAAACTTTGTTCTTTGGCCACTACACATCCAGTTCTTAGGATAGAACTGGCAGGTAATCAGGGCTCAATAGGACCTTGAAGGAAGAAAGCTAGTTATAGTGCTTCTGACTATAAAATCTCTCAAAATTAGGGTGAACTAGACAAATATCCCAATTTCAAAAACCACCCAAAAGACAAGATAATTTAGAAAAGAATATATGCAAATGGCCATTAAATGTATAGAAAACTAACCTCACTAATCAGATAATTTTTAAAAGAAATATTACAGTACCATTTCAATCCACCCCCCACCACCAAAAAAGGGTAATAACCAGTGTTTGTGAACTTACACTGATGGTGAGCATATGTAATTAATAATGTCTCTCTAAAGAGCAATATGTATTAAGATCTATAAAAATAATTTTCCCCTCTGACCCAGTAATTCTCTTCTAGAAATGTATCTAAGGAAATTGATTAATTTGTGTTAAGATTCTTCATTGTAATGCTATTTATAACAAAAAAGTATAAAATATCCTAAAATGTCCATCAATCAAAGGACAATTATTATGTTCATATGATTTATATTATTTTCTATCATTATTTAATGGCAGGGGAAATTGTTAAGTGGAAAAATTGACACTGCATTTTATATATAGTTGATCCAAATTCTGTAAGTAAATAAATTCTAGAAGAATTTCCTTATTTTTTTAAATATGTTTTTATTTCTTTCAGAGAGGATGGGAGAGGGTGAGAGAGATAGAAATATGAATGAGGAGAGAAAATCATTGATCAGCTGCATCTTGTACACCCTACACCAGGGACTGAGCCCACAACCTGAGCCTGCAACCCAGGCACATGCCCTGGCTGGGAATCAAACTGTGACTTCTTGGTTCATAGGTTGATATTCAACCACTGAGCTACGCCCAGCTTTATTTATTTATTTTTTTAATAAATAGGTAAACTAGTAAGTGCAGGAAGAAAGTTACACAGTATTAACAAGGACTCCCAGAATATTAGATTTCTTATAGAATTTCAGTTAATGATACATATTAGAATTAAATTATTACCAGTTTTGTAATCCTTATGAAATAATGGATCTAAGCCTCCTGATGAAAGAATACACCACTATCTGTGATAGAACTCTTGCCAAAAAACTGAATTTGATCTGATTAAGCCTCTAGATTAGATCCAATGTTCAATTTATAGGAAATATGAGATAGAACATGTTAGTAAGACAGGGATTCAATCAACAAATCCAGACTGTGGGAAACTTTATATGGCAAATGACCTATTTTTGATTATTGTTTTAAAATGTGTTTTTCTTATATTAAAGATATTTGATATCAATTGACAGAAGAGGTGGGCCTTCAGTGGCCAAGGAGACTGTTAAACTTGCTGAAGAATTTTTCCTTTCTACTAAAGATACAGTTATTGGCCTTGACCTCAGTGGAGATCCTACAGTAAGTTATTTCTCCTAAATACATTTTATTTATTTAAAAAAGTCAATTTAGTTTGTGGGATAAGGACAACCAGGGTGCATACAGCAACTATTCTCAACCAAGAATCTATGAAAGAATTAAGCCCCATAAAAAAGCAAAAAAGATTTGCATGACAACATGGTTATTTTCTCAATCTTCTAAAGATGGTACACAGCTAATTCCATTCTACATATATAGGAGAGAATTCAGTTCATTTTATATAGTGGATGTCTAATGCTTAATTGTCTAGAGCTTAATTATCTCTTAAAACTTCCAGTTGAGAAAGGCTGGCCTAGAACTTCTTAAATGTCAAGTTCAAGCAGGGTGTCTCATCTGTGGCACTATGGGTATTTTGGGCCAAATAATTCTTTCTTGTGGGGACTATCCTGTGCATTGTAGGGTGTTTAGCAGCATTCCTGGCTCTATTACTAGATACCAATAGCACCCTCCCAGTTGTGACACCCAAAAATGTTACATTGCCAAATGTCCCCAGGGTTTGGGAGAGAGGAGGGGTTGGAGATTGCCCTTAGTTGAAAGCCACTGAATTAATCTCATGAAACTGGTTCTTTTGGCTTTGTCTAAACTTGGTCTGTCCTACTGATGTTTCATCCATCCATTTGAGAGAAGCTTTTTTAGTAATCACGTGGCTTCCTGAATCAGATAAGTTCTCCTTCTTAGCACTAGATACCCTTCCAGAAATAAAATTTGGTGACTACTAAATCTAGCTTAGCTAATTGACCTCAGGCTCACTGATACTTAAGATCCTTGAGAGCAGGACTATCTTTGCTAGCTTTGCATGCTCCCAAAGTGTCTAGCACATTTTAGGGGCCTTATAAACAAAATGTACGAATGAATCAATCTGCTGAGGTATTTTTCAGCTATTATTTTATTTATTTGTTTATTGGGACAGAGTACACAGTTCCTCAGTTTGCCCGGTGCTCTCATGCATCCTCATTTTAATTTTTATCTTCAAGGCAGGACAAGCAAAAGATTTCTTGGAACCTCTTTTGGAAGCAAAAAAAGCAGGTCTGAAGTTGGCATTGCATCTTTCAGAGGTAAATAATATATATTTTTAAAACATATTTTATTGATTTTTTTTACAGAGAGGAAAAGAGGAGAGAGAATTAGAAACATCCATGAGAGAGAAACATCAATCAGCTCCTCCTGCACACCCCCTACTGAGATGAGCCCACAACCAAAGTACATGCCCTTGACTGGAATCAAACCTGGGACCCTTGAGTTTGCAGGCTGATGCTTTATCCACTGAGCCAAACCAATTAGAGCAGTAAATAATATTTTAAAATTAGGCTGGAGAGGAAGTCAATTTAGTTGACTTACAGTGGAAAATAGTAATCATCTTTAAGTGGCTAAAAACATACCTGGCTTAGAAAAACATTTTTAGAAGGGGAAAAGTAGAAATGTTTTAACATAAATTATAATGATAAAGGCATGAGTGTCTTTAGTCTCTCATGTTATTGTTTTTGTTTTTGTGGTTCCTGGGAGGGTGGCTGTTGACTTTTAGTACAGCTGTGTCTTTAGAAATAGCTTAATGACATCTTGCTAGAGAAAATTCATGAATTTCCATCATTGACCACATCATTGGTAAGCTGGCATTGAGAGAAGCACTAGTTCATCTCACTTTGTGCTCATAGGGAAAGGGACCTGAGTGTATCACATGTACTAACAAGAAAGGAAGTACCTCATCATCTTTCTATAAGGCTCAGCAGGGAGATCAGGTGGCCCTCTGTCCCCACCTCCTTGCAGCATGAACAAATGACAGATAATGGCTGGAGAACGTCACTTTCTTCACATCTCTGTGAGGCAAACAAGGGACTCTATTGCACTTTCCCCCATTTTATAAATGGTTTATTTCTTCCTATTCTTTTTTTTTCTTTCCATACAAAAAACTACACATAATATATATAACTACATGAGTTTGGATTTGTTTCTTAACCAGTTTACGGCCATGCGTCCAAAACAGAAACATCCCCACTGCCACGATATTTTGAATTTAATTAGAAAAAAATCAATTTGTAATGAATATTTGAAAAATAAATATATTATAATTCAGGTGTTCTTGAATATTTTTAGCTGAAAATTCTCACAAAAAATGATTTTAAAGTTGGTCAGAGCTGTCACTTAGGGACATTTTTTTTATAGACACACATGGCGTGTGGGAAAGGTCTGCCGCTTGCATCTATGGACGCATATGGCATACAATGGGTTAAATGCAGGAAATAATACTTATTCTGCTTATTTCATGGGGTTATCCTGAGTATTAGATGGAATGATATATAAAAGTTGAATAGCATCAGGACTTAAAGACTTAAGGGAAAAAATGGAGCTTCTTGTCATTATTGGTGGTTTTCATGTCTATAAGCTAGGGGTCAGTTATCTAGTGGAAGAACTTAAGAAAATATAGGTTCCATGTGTCCACCCTCTGATAAAAAAGACCTTTCACTTTTAGGAAACTATCTAGCTGACCTGATACCTGACTGAAGCAACTGATCAATATAATGAAATAGCCAGCATGTGTCACTGTAACCAGTTATCTCTGGTCTTGGTGCATAGTATCAAAGTGCTTTAGCTTGCTGAAAACTGGTTTGGCTCAGTAGATAGAGCATTGGCCTGTGGACTGAAAGGTCCCCAGGTTCGATTCTGGTCAAGGGCATGTACCTTGGTTGCGGGTACATCCCCAGTAGGAGGTGTGCAAGAGGCAGCTGATCGGTGATTCTCTCTCATCAATGTTTCTAACTCTCTATCCCTCTCTCCTCCTCTCTGTGAAAAATAAATATATAAATAAAATATAATTTTTTTTTTTTAAAAAGGGTTTTAGCTTAATTTTTGTTGCATTTCTTATATGGTACATTGGATACAAGATATTTCATTTCTGCATGTTATTGTGATTTGAATTTTAGACTACTAAGGGATAAAGAACACAGCTAGACATTTTCATGGTAGTTGTAGTATGTATGTAGCTAGTCTTATCAAAATAAAACATGAACACGCTGTGTTGAGAGTCTGGGCCCTGGAGTCAGATAGAGCCAGATTTCACCCTTCTCTCTATCATTCACTAGCTCCATGAATCTTGGACAACTTTTGCTTAGAATACATTATGTTTTTAACTACAAAATTTATATGTACCTGAAGAAAAGCCAACTATAGAGAACTATTATATAGAAAGAAATAAAAACTGAAAAGTCCCCTTCCCATTTCAGTTGTGCTCTCAACTTGATCGTCTTAACAATTTTGTATTTAGCCGAAACTGGTTTGGCTCAGTGGATAGAGCGTCAGCCTGTGGACTGAAGGGTCCCGGGTTTGATTCCGGTCAAGGGCATGTACCTTGGTTGTGGGCACATTCCCAGTGAGGGGGTGTGCAGGAGGCAGCTGATTGATGCTTCTCTCTCATCGATGTTTCTAACTCTCTATCTCTTTCCCTTCCTCTCTGTAAAAAATCAATAAAATATATTTAAAAAAACAACAATTTTGTATTTATATATTTCCAGACCTTTTTCTAATATATATAAACATACATATACACCATAGGACACATATACATATGGAGCTTTGGATTTTGTTTTTGAAAATTACTTTTTCTGAGCTTTAATTTCTTCATCTTAATACTTTTCCTTAAGTGTGTTTATTATCATTGGCTATAATTATTATCACTGGAATGAATCTAGAATATTGGGAAATGAATAGGATGATAAAAGGCAAAGAAAAGAGCTAGGAAGGTATAAGTAATTCAGCTTTCCAGAATATCTGTACTACCTTCTCAGGGACAGAGTACCTGGTTTTAGAAAGAGCACTTTTAAAACAACTGAAAGAGGTTATTGATGTCCTCTCTTCCCCTCTTTTTGAGATCCCAAACATCAGGGAAGAAACACAAGTTCTCCTGGATCTGTTACCTGACAGAATTGGACATGGGACATTTCTCAATTCCTCTGAGGGAGGATCCTTGGATCTAGTAGACTTTGTGAGGAAACACCAGATACCGCTGGGTAAGGCTTAGGGCTTCAGGTCCTTCAGACAACCCTGTGCCCCTTCCACCCCCACCCCCACATTGCAGCCCAGATGTAGAGAAGTTTTGTCCTAAATATGTAAATATTTAGAAAGTAAAAGATAGGAATAAGTGCTTTCTGACCCTTATTTAAGTAACACAAAGTTTTAACTTCCATCCTATTTAATAAAAGAGTCATATGCAAATTGACCATCACTCCAGCACACAAGATGGCTGCCCCCATGTGCACACAAGATGGCCACCACAAGATGACCAGTAGGGGAGGGCAGTTGGGAGGGACCAGGCCTGCAAGGGAGGGCAGTTGTGGGCAATCAACCTTGCAGGGGAGGCTAGTTAGGGGTGACCAGGCTAGCAAAGGAGGGAAGTTGGGGGCAAACAGGCTGGCAGGGGAGCATTTAGGCATCAGTCAGGCTGGCATGGGAGTGGTTAGGGGGTGATCAGGCTGGCAGGCAGAAGTGGTTAGGGGCAATCAGGAAGGGAGGCAGGCGAGCATTTGGGAGCCAGCCATCCTGGATTGTGAGAGGGATGTCCGACTGCTGGGATCGGGCCTAAACGGGCAGTCGGACATCCCATGAGGAGTCCCAGGTTGAAGAGGGTGCAGGCTGGGCTGAGGGACACCCCCACCCCCATGCATGAATTTTGTGTACTGGGCTTCTAGTTAGAATATCAGCAGAGCCCTTCTCTGTTTTCCCTACTTCCTAGAACTCAGTATTATAATGAAGGAATAAGGGGCATCTAGTATTTTGAAATGACTTTAACCAAATTAAGATGTGTTATGAAAATGTGTCACTTTTTTAAAAATTAAGAATTATGGAAAATTCCAAGTATATTATTATATGTATGTTGACTGTTACACACTTGTTAGTCTACATGTTTATACCTAGAGCTGTTTTTGTTTAACAGCATATATTTATGAAATGCCTACTCTGTTCCAGTCACTTTTCAAATTGCTAGGAAGAGAGCAGTAAACAAAACAAACAAGCTTGCTTTCTCAAGGAATTTATAATCTAAAGGTAAGACAGTAAACAAATGCATGAGAAAATATTAGAGTTAAGTTCTTTGAAGAAAATAAACAGGCTGATATAATGATGAGATAACCACTTTCAATTGGATGGATCAAGGAAGGCCTTTCTGAAGAGGGAAAGAAGCAATGGACTGAAATCCATTTTTACTGAATGATAAATTCGCTGAATTTACAAATTTACCAATTTGTAAAATACTTGTTTGGGTATGCTTTTCTTAAAACTATTCATAGACTTTTCAGCAATTCATAATTGATGAGGCTTGCTGATTTTTACTGAGGAAAATTTTAAACATCAACAAAAGTACTAGAGAAAATGGAAACTGTAGTGATAGTGGTAGTGAGGGGGCAGGTTGGCTCTGCCATTTCTTGGACTGGGTGGCCCTGTGTTGAGGCTGCCTTACCCAAGGGAGCAGATGCCATCCATCAAGTCAATGAAGTATTTCACTCTGCCTAGGGAGCCTGGTACAGTTTCAAGGCAGGAATTTGTTAAAAGAAGTCATTCTTAAGATGGATTTACTTGCAGCAGGCAGTGACTAGATGGTTGTCTGATTAAAAGAAGTAGGGCGTTTTCTTTGAAACCTTGGAAAAGTTCCATTTCTGCTCTTGGTTTTTATAATGCTGTTAACTCTAAAACAGTTCTGCCATTATCTGACCTTTATTTTAGCCTCCATACGTAGACCATGGAGAGGGTAGCAACCCTTCAGATAATTCCCTGGCTTCTTTTCGGTGTCTGGCTTACACACCTCTTTTCTCTCTTGTTAAAAGAAAGGGGAAGCACATGGCCATAAAGGAAATATTAATTCCCTGCCTTCCACAGTTGCTGCCATAAGTTGCACATATTTCCCACACAACCACACTAATTGAACTACAAATTTTACACAAGAAAAGGTCAACTTTAAAAATACTTTTTGATTTTTTTAGAGAGGGAGAGAGAGAATTATCAATGTGATAGCAAAACTTGGATCAGCTACCTCTTGTATGCCCCTTACCAGGGACGAGCCCACAACCTGGTCATGTACCCTGACCTGGGATCAAACCAGCAACCTTTCAGTGCCCAACCAATAGCCACACCAGGGCAAGAAAAGGTCGATTTTGTAAAGGAATGAACACTGAAAATTAGCATAACGTAGAAAGATTTCTCATGTATCTACTTGATGATTGAGTCTACTTATCTGCTTTTAATAAAAGGCTTTTCCCCCTTTCCTGTAGAACTCTGTTTGACCTCAAACATCAAAAGTCGGACAGTTCCATCTTATGACAAGCATCATTTCGGATTCTGGTACAGCATTGCCCATCCTTCTGTGATCTGTGTAAGTATTTTGCTCCTTTTTAGTCCGAGAGTTGCTTTAGGTCAGACATTCGCTAACTAGCTGAGCGCCTTGCCTGCCTGAGGGTAATAAAGCCCAAATAGAGGAGTGAGAGGGGGCTGGGGCATGAGAGGCCACCAAGGGCCAGGGTGACTGGTTTGGCTCCAAGGGAAAGGATCCTGGACAGTAACTAGGGAGCATTAAAGAAAAAAATAGTGCCTTAGCCGGTTTGGCTCATTGGATAGAGAGCACTGGCCTGTGAACTGAAGGGTCCGGGGTTGATTCTAGTCAAGGACATGTACCTCTGTTGTGGGCTCGATCCCTGGTCCTGATAGATAGGCAACCAATCAATGTCTCTCTCTCACATTGATGTTTTTCTCTGTCTCTCCCCCTTCCTCCCACTCTCTCTAAAAATTAATGGGAAAATATCCTCCAATTAGGATTAACAACAACAAAAATAGTGGTGCCGGCATCCATCCCCTGAGATTCTGCTTTATATAATCAGGGAAGTGTCCTGAGAACAGTTATGTTTTTAAAGCTCCTTACATGATTTTAATACGCAGCAACGGTTAGAGCACTGCTCTGGTGTGCTCTAACCAGAAAGGAGAGGTAGAGAGAGAAAAAAAAACATCAATTATGAGAGACTCATTGATTGGCTACCTCCTGTCTACTCCACACTGGGGATCCAGCCTACAACCTGGGTATGTGCCAGGAATCAAATCCATGATCTCCTGGTTCATAAGTTGACTCTCAACCACTGAGCCATGCTGGCCAGGCTGTTTTTATTGATTTGAGAAAGGAAGGGAGACAGGAAAACATGGAATGTAAACATGGATGTTCATTGCCTCCTCGTACACACCCCCACGGGCTCAAACCTGCAACCTAGGTGTGTGCCTTGACCAGGAATCAAACCCACAATCTTGGTGTATGGACTGATGCTCCAACCACCTGAGTCATGTGGCCAGACTGGGGTTTTTTCCTTAGTTTTTTAAGGGTAAACAAGCCCCGTTAGTTATAGCTAGGCATAGATGTATTTATAGGCCCCTGTTTAGACTCTTAAAAGAAGCTTGGTGAATAGGAAAGTAGACTAAAGAAGAGTTGTTTTTAAAAAAAATCATTTCCTTATTCATTTGGAAACTTTCTTGCTTACATTGACAGACTGATGATAAGGGTGTTTTTGCAACACACCTTTCCCAAGAGTACCAGCTGGCAGCTGAACATTTTAATTTGACCCCATCTCAGGTATGGGATTTGTCTTATGAATCCATCGACTACATCTTTGCTTCTGACAGCACCAGGTCTGAACTGAAAAAGAAGTGGAATCATCTGAAACCCAAAGTGTTACATTTTTAAGCTGTAATGAAGTGAATTACTTTTGAGTATGTGTTGCAACCCAGATCTTCCTGCCATATTCCTTTTAATAAACCTTTCACCTCTCATTCTGAAGAACAGTAGCCAGTAGCAAGATATCTCCAGTACCTCATTAAATATGTCTTAAATTGATTAACAGACTCTAAGGCCTTACATAGCTTCCTGTATGCTGCTTACTGGAAGGGACGTGAATATTGCTGCTAACTAAACTCCCAGTGCACCACTGATTGTTACGTCACAGTCCCTTTCTATTAGTGATCCCACAAAACTTCATAAACTCGCAGTTGCTGCTAGAGCCTGCCCACCCTCTCCATCCCCAAGGGGGTATTATTTCCCTTTATCCCGATAAATCTTACACTACATTTAAACTTTAAAAAAAAAAAACTTCAGGAAATTCAAAGTAGTTTCTCATCAGGAAAAGTTTGGGAATTACTAGTCTAAATAAAGTGAGAAGGGAAAACAGATTATCACCAAGAACTTTATGCTTTCTAGCTTCTGACAATAGCTCTGTATTTTATTACGCTTATTGTAATCAGACTCTCTTCACTTAAGTATTTCCCAAAACTATTGATTCCAGACAACACTGCATACCATGGGGGTTTGTGAATATCCAGTAGTCAGGTTTACTCTGTAGGTGACTCTAGTGACAGGTAAAGCTAGCTGCTGAGATCTGGCTTTGTCCTCATGATTAATTTCTCTGGAATCAAGTTACTGTTTTTTAAAAAATATTTCTACCTTTCTCTTCTCTTATTTTGACCATAATGGAGCTATGCCAGCCAGATACTTCTTATTGAGCTGTAGGGTACTTTAAGCTTCTATTTCCAGCCTTTATTATTTTTTGTCACACACACATACCTCCCCCTCCTCACTCCACCTCCACTCCCTATTTTCAGCCTTTAATCTGATTTCCAGTTGTTCCGAAGTTTTGTTTCTGAAATAGCCCATGATGGGTGTTGGAGGAATTTAAGCTAACTGAAATATCTTTATATAATATCTGTTAAGCACTATGATATCAGATAATAACATTTTATATGTCAAAATTTTGAGACCTGTATCTCACTGGATATTTGAGTCTATAGGAGTAAAGTTTTTGTTTTAGATTTTGAATTAAATAATGGAGAGAGAATTTATCCATCCTTACATTCATATCTTATCTTCACTTCCCTACATGGTCAGCATAAAAATAGTTCTCAGTGGAGTTGACAACATTCAGCATCTACACTCAAAGATTATAGTAAAAGAGAAATAGCAACACAGAAAATATGTTTGCTAGTAAGTTGTATGACCTTGGCCATAGAGCACAAGCAATAAAAGGATTAAAGATAACACGGGGTGGAGGGAAATAACAGCACTAGGGAAACAGCTGATGGGAATAAATATGATTGCCCAACTCCGGCTAATACATTCTTGCCTCCTTTGCTGCATTTGCCACCCAATCTATCCCCACAGAAGTCTTGTGGGTTTTAAAAGAGGTACATAAATTATCTTGCTCCCCAACAGGGCTTGGTTTCTCTTTTTTAGAATGTTTGAAAACTATTAAATCTTTAGGAATGGGTAGCACATAATGGTTTGGGCGCTAGTTTGAAGTGAACTTATTTTCCCCCAGTAAGAATTTGCCTTTGCCCTATTCCTTTTGCACATTTTCTTCATCTGGAGGGCTGGTCCTGGTCCTTTTAAAGTAAGACTCATTTTCCATGCTGTTATGATGGATCCTAATGGATATGGATTCATACCAAGGTTTTTTATTCTAATTTTTCTTTTACCATATTCTCATCTGTTTCTCAACCTAGAACACAAAAGATTAGATAGGCATTATTCTAGTAACCCCATTCAGGGAGCCAAAAAAAAAAAGGCAGTCCAGCTGGTATGGTTCATGGATGTCAACCTATGAACCAAGTCAGTTAGATTCCTAGTCAAGGCACATGCCCGAGTTGTTGGCTCCATCCCCAGTAGGGGGCTTGCAGGCAGTCAGTGATTCTCGTCACTGTTTTTCTCTCTCTCTCTCCTCCCTTCCCTTTCCGAAATCAATAAAAATCTATATATTTTTTAAAAGGCAGGCAAAGATTTATCTCTGCCTACCAACAACAACTTACTCATAATTTGCATGAATTTGTGCACTGGTGGGGTCCAGCCGGCCTGCCCAATGAGGGCCATCAGAAGCAGGCTGGCCAGGGTGAGGGTCTGCAGGTGATTGATTGGGGTCCAGGTGCCTGCCCAGAGGGCCGGCCGGGGAGAGGGTCCACCGGGGAGAGGGTCCACAGGCATGTCAGTCGTTCTGCCGTTCAGTCAATTTGCATATTACCTTTTTATTATATAGTGTGTGTGTGTGTGTGTGTGTGTGTGTGTGTGTGTGTGTGTGTGTGTGAACTAGAAGCCTTGTGCACAAAACTTGTGCATGGATAGGGTCCCTAGGTCTGGCTGGTGTCAGGGCTGATCAGGGCCTTCCAGCTGCCAGCCAGGGCCTTCATTCTGTGCTGCCCCTTGGTGGTAAGCAATCGAACACCCAGTCTCCTCGTCAAACTCCTGAGGGGACACTTTGCATATTAGCCTTTCATATATATATAGATTATCTAGTGGATAGCCAAAGTTGCAGATGTTTTATTTATTTATTTTTTAATATATTGTATTGATTTTTTACAGAGAGGAAGGGAGAGAGCGAGCTAGAAACGTTGATGAGAGAGAAACATCAACCAGCTGCCTCTTACACACCCCCTACCAGAGATGTGCCCGCAACCAATGTACATGCCCTTGCCCGGAATCGAACCTGGGACCCTTCAGTCCGCAGACCTACACTCTACCACTGAGCCAAACCGGCTTCGGCAAGTTGCAGATGTTTTAGACAGCATACTTTCTACCAGAAGATTTTTTTCACTACACAAAAGTAACCTATTGAATTTGTTTTAACACTATTTGTGCCATGCCCAGATTTCTTAATAATATATCCTGATTCTGGAGTGCTCAAGTAAAATATTTTATAGAGGCCTGGTGCACCAGTGGGGTCCCTTGGCCTGGCCTACAGAGATTGGGTTGAAACTGGCTTTCTGACATCCCCCAAAGGGTCCCAGATTGCAAGAGGCCAGTTCTCAGGTGACACACCCTGGAATCGTGTTCCCTCCTCTCTGGTTCTGTGTGCATCACCTGAGAACCACAGCTGCCATGTCACAGCAGCTCAGCAGCTCCTGTGTTGAGCATCTGCCCCCTGGTGGTCAGTGCAGTGCATGTCATCCCAGATGGACAGCTGAACAGATAGTCACTTAGGTTTTATATATATATATATATATATATATATATAGAGAGAGAGAGAGAGAGAGAGAGAGAGATACACATACATATATATGTGGTGTGGGTTGGTTTTTGTTTTGTTTGTTTTTGCACATATATACTTTTAAACATACCTGAAGAAACACTGGGTACTTTATAGATATAATCTTTATTAACATGGTATCCCTGAGAGGCATATTAAGGTATAAACATTATCCCACTTCACAGAAAAGGAATTGGAAGCAGGATGTCTTACACATAAGACATTTAGAACCAGAATTCATATATGTTAATACCCCAATCAGTGCTTTCCCACAAGACTATACATGAATATACTAAATATAATAACCTCTTACTTAAAAAAAAAATTAAGTCAAATCAGATCCTGAAGCATTGCTTCAGACTAGTGCTTCTTATATGTTCCTGTCTGCTTAGGTAATATAATTAAGATACCATCTCCCTTTAATTCCTAATAAATGTTAGATTCTTTGTACTAGGACCCCTCAACATCAGAACCCTAATTCATCTCTCATCTACACAGTAAGCTATGAATTGCAGAATATTCCTCTCCCCAATCTCATTCCAGCCACAGAACTTGAATTACATGTGAATGTGAAACAGCTACCTATCCTAGGCCTTGGCCATCTGTTCACATTTCCCTTTCCTGACTTAACCATCAGAGCATCTTCTCAAGCTACAATTTCTGACCTTCGTCTCCCAAAGGAGCTAGTCACTGCAGTTGCTCATTCTTCTCCAGTACCAGCTGTTTCCTTATCAATAACTACAGCACAGCACCTGATTTAACACAGATGATGGGAGCATCACCTCCTTATCTGCCTCCGGCACTCCATGTTTCACCGGAGGCAATTCTTTCCTGTCTCCTGCACAGCCCTGATCCTGAAATTTTGTGCTGCTCCCACCGTTATCCAAACTTCCTTAGTCTTTCATTTGCCCTCTGCTCCATCTGCACAATACACTTACTCCCCAATGTTCCTATTTCTCATCCACTTAGCAGTTTAGAAAGTTCATCCCATCCTAATTTACCCAATAATCTCCCCTCCTTTGAATACTTCCTGTTTTCTGAAAACTCCCTGAACAAAAGGCAAATACCTCATATTTTGACAGCAAACTCAAATATATTAGATCTTAACATTTATGCATTGTTACTACTTAGCTTTAAACCTTTGCAACTATATATGTGTACTTATTTCTTTGTCCATTTTAGATTGTAAGGACAGGGACTATTTGTGCTGTACAGGACTCATCATACTACTATGAAAATATGGGCAATTAATGTAATATTATTCTATTATAAAGATCAGAATTACACTTGTGTTTAAAGAGCTGCTTTTCAATAGATTTATAGTTGAATATATGCATTTGTATGTGTGTACTGAACTCAACTGACCAAAGATCATCTGTCCTCCTTGCCATTCAGGTTAACAGTTGTTGGTTTGGTACATTTTGCCAATCCATGGCAATGTGGCAGTGGCTTCTGCTCCTTGTAGGTTAGTATTGAGCACTCATGGGGAACCTACAGTAGACTACATGTTTGGAGTGTGTAGGATATAGAGAATTCCCTGTTGGCAGCTTTAATTGCTTTCCCAATCATCACACCCAGTTGCCTTGCTCTCTGGGCTTCTGGACCAAGGAACACATGAAATTCAGATGAAATGGACAGAAAAAAATTAAACTAGATGATGTAAATGGAGAATTTTTCTATTCCAGATCTTGTAGGACTTGAAAGAAACTAAGACATCCAGGGTTTATAGTGCAATATCTATACAAGGTTTACATTGTTTCCCTATATAGAACACCCAGGTGAGAATCAAGATGGACATTAACTCTCCCTTAAGGCAAATGAAGAGTGTGCATGACAAATATAAGGGCTCCCCTACTTACGATGGGGCTATGTCCAGATAAGCCCATCATGAGTGGAATATTTGTAAGTTAAAAATGTCCTTAAATACCAAACATCAAAGCTTAGCTTAGATGACAGTTTCTATTGAACATGTATCATATTCGCACCATCACAAAGTTCAACTATTGTAAATTGGGGACCATCTGTATTTCATGCTGGGCACGGGCTTAAGTGGACAAAAAGGAAGAGTCATTCCTTTTTGTATTCCCATTACTGTATAAAGAGCTAGACCTACTTAATGAGAAAAGTTTCACAACTTCTCTCTGAAATGCTGCTGAATCACAGGAGGAACAAAAAAGGGTACATGTTAGAGGATCTACTGCTGTGTCTCTGTTAAGGAAACAGGAGCGGGATTGAAATCTTCCTTTCATTCTTAAGAAGACTTCCTTGGGAATTTGATCCAGGAGAAACTGGAACACACTGTGGGGTAAATCCTAGAGTACTTCCTAAGCTGGTTGAGCACAGATAGAAGATGGATCTCACCACCGTTGAAAGACTTTTCAAACAATTTCAAAACATTTATTGAGGTTCTTTTACTTTTTTTTTTTTTTAATAGATACTCAGTGGCTTACTTAGGCATTGATTGTTTCAGAAGTTTTTCTCGTGTATGGATTTCTCTGTGCTTATTCAGAGCAGAGCTTTTACTGAAGCACTTGCCACAATCATGACACCCATAGGGTTTCTCTCCCGTGTGGGTTCTATGATGTGCACGCAAATCAGAACTCTTACTGAAACTCTTTCCACAGTCAGGACACACGTGGGGTCTCTCTCCTGTGTGTATCCTCCGATGCGCACTAAAATGAGAACTGTTATTGAAGCTTTTCCCGCACTCTTCACACTGATAGGGCTTTTCTCCCGTGTGGGTTCTCTGGTGAATGATAAGGCTTGAGCTCTGGTTGAAACGTTTTCCACACTCACTGCATTGATAGGGTTTCTCTCCTGTGTGGATTCTCCTATGGGTGATGAAATTTGAACTGTCACGGAAACATTTCCCACAGTCAAGACACTTATAAGGTTTCTCTCCAGTGTGGATTCTCCAGTGTCTAACGAGGCGCGCACTCCGACTGAAGCTTTTTCCGCAGTCAGTACATTTATATGGGTTTTCCACTTGATGTGTTATTTGATGCATGAGGTGGGAGTTTGGACCAAAGCTTTTGCCATATCTAAGATATTTATTGGGTTTCTCTCCCAAGTAAGGTTTCTGATGACTTAAAACTTTATTCAAACTCCTCTCTGGGAGTGTGGGTTTTCTTCTTCTTTCTCCTGGGGTTCTCTTCCAGTGTCTTCCTGATCTACATTCAGTCTCACTGCCTTTACCATGATTAAGGTGCCGGCAAATTTTCCTTTCAGACCTTGCAAGTAATGTCCTATGTAGTTGTACTTCCTCAGAAATATCCCGTTTTAGATTCTCTTCATTCTCAAATCCAGCCTCAAAACCTAGCATGAGAATATAATTTTTAAAGTTATCCATTTCCTCAATGATTCTTTGCCAAGGTAAAGTAAGTGTCACACTAGATATTTAAAGATAAAAATTAGGGGGTTCTAGATCCTAAACAATTACGATCTATTAAAATTCTAGTGTTTACTTTTCTACTTCATAGCCCATTACACATTTCTCATCTATATAGGATTCTTGAGTATATTCTTTTAATTCTTCCTGAATATCCAGGATCTTCAGAAAATCTTCTCAATGTAATAAGAAAAACCTGCCTGATTTTTTTTTTTTTTAACTATCACGTTTATACAGGAAATACACTTTCTAAATCTATATTTTTTCCTCTTCACAGGCTATTATGATACTCTAGTTTATGTTCTTTGCCAGTAACTTAAAGGGATTAGGAGGGAATGTCCAGGAAAACTCTGCGAAACTTGTATATCCAAAAGTTATATGTGTCCCCTTCTGCTCAAATTCCAGTATATATTGAGAATAAAAATAGGGTAGAAAACAACTTGGTGTCTTCCAAAGAATAAGCCTTCTGAGAGAAGAAATGTGCTAAGAAGTGTCCCACTAAAAACATTCTCTCTACCTATGGAAAGTTAATCACTAAATGCTTCTAAAGCCAAAGCTAAGAACCAAATGCCGGGCTCCCCAGGCCTAGCCTTTGTGAATGAACTTGCAGATACTTGCAAATTTTTAGTTTGAATTTACAGAATTTTCAGGTAAACTCTGGATCCCTAATTTCCTGGACTAAATCTGAGAGCAAAAGAAAGCTGAGTGTCAGTTTGTGTTCTACCTCTCAGCAGTATTTCTATCTAGAATCCAGGTCTTACGATATGCCTGTTAAATAGAGGTTCATCAGATTAAATGAAACCTCAGGACCGTAAATATGTAAATGTTTTGTGATCCTCCATGAGGGGTATTTAGCATTTCCTAAACCTAGAAGCCATTTTTCAGTAGAATATAGTAATATCCCCACGGAACTCATGTTCCATGGAACAAGCTTAAAGAATCTTGATCTAAAGAACTTTTGGAAAAGAAAACTGCTCTTTATTGAATACTTACCATGTACGCAAGCATTGGTTAAGTGCTTCACCATGGTACCTTATTTATAGCAACTCTCTGAGGTAGGTCTTCATAGATAAGTAAACTTCAGGATTAGGTTCTAAGTTACTCAACTTACAACCAACAGAGTCCAGATACAGGGATGAGCAAACGTAAGTTTTATAGTTGTGAGTATGCAAATCAGTTTATTCTTATATCATTATTTATTATTGTATTATTTGTATTAGTCATATTATTATTTCATATCCTTATTTATAATTTATCTTTTAGGTATGATGGTTGGTAACTTAACCTACTTTTGGCCACCCCTGTACATGTAATACTCCAAAATCAAAATTATTCTTCCCAGGAGGAAGCCATAGTGAAGTATTTTCTTCATAATACAGCAGCTAGGATTCAAAGGTCAATTCTTTCAGAAATCTCAGACTTTTGCATAAGTGTGTCTAAAGAAAGAGGTTAGCAGATTCTCAAATATGTGATAAAGCAGACATACAGCTGGTATATAAGCTGAAAATAGAACAACAAACAAATGAGAATGAACTTTTAAAATCAACTTCATCCTATTATGGGTACATGAATGCTACTGGGAAATGTTAACTTTCCGATTCCCTGCTAGATAAACTGCTTAACCACCTAGCAGCTCACATATAGATGATAACAAATTTACAAAGTTTGCAACCATCTTGGATTCAGGCAAGTCAAGTGAGTAATTTACTTCCCCTCACTAAACTGCTTCAATAGACAGAGCACACGGAGAAGAAATGGGTGGTCACAAGAAGACTCCATGGCAGCTGGGTGTTAAGAAGCTTCAATCTCATGATGTTTTTTCCTAAATCCCACTGTTTCCCCTTTGCTATTTAGACCTTAAGAAGTAAAAGAATCTTACCACTGGGGCTCTGGAATAAGACTGGAGCACGCGTGATGACAGCACCTGGGGGTAGCTCAGTATCCTCTTCATCATCCTCAGAATCTTCTTCTGAGGCCTCTTCTGCCTCCTCAGCTTGCTTCTCAGTTTCAGCCTCACTGGTCTCCTGGATGGGGCAAGAGGCTGTGTCTTCCTCCTGGACATCACTGAGTGGGGCAGCAACCCGAGCACTCACCAAAGCATCCATCTCTTCAAAGAAGGGACAGGTCTCTGGTGCTTGGCCATTCTTGACTTTCCGGTAGCTGGTCTGTAGGCTTTTAAACTTGGTCCGACATTGCTCTGGTGTCCTAAGGAATCCATATTCCCATAACCGCTCAGCCACTGCTCCGTACAACTGGCTGTTGCGGTGACAGTTCTGAAGAGCTTCATAAAACTGAGTCTCACTAAGAATTGCAAGGTAAGTTTTCGTCTCTTCATAGCCCCAGTGTACACCTGCCACCAAAAGAGTAATTTCAGCACCAGGGTTTTACAGCCTCAATTCCTTAATCATATCATCTGCATCTTTCAAACATTCTTTGAAAGTTTCCCACAGAATGACTAAAAACCCCAAGAAATAGTCTCTTTAACCTGTTAACCGAGCGGGACCTATAAATACGTAAACCGAGCGGGACCTATAAAAACGTAAACAATATCAGGAACGGGTAGGACGTATGAATATGTCCTTGAAATATATGTTGCGCCCTGAGAAGGACAGTATATATTTTTTGTAATCTTTATAATTGTTTGTGAAATTTATAATTTTTTAATTCGATGTTTCCATTTTTTTGTTGGTATTCTTTTCTATTTGTTTGTAATTTTGTATTTTCCTTTGTGCTTTATATATAAATAAACGAAAAAATTATATTTCATTTATTTTAATTAAGTATAAATTAAAAAATTATAATATAAAATTACGTCCACTGGGCGTGACGTACTGACACGTCCTAGTGAAAGAGTATGCGCCCGTTGTATGTTGCATAATTAAAAAGGGAACTCCCCGATTAACAGGTTAAAATTGCCTAAACTCTTATGATGACCCTTCCTCACTTGCCACAATCTCAAAAGAAAAAAAAAAAGCAAGCCCCCAGCAAAGACCTGAAAGGGTACCAGATAAGGACCTGATAGTCATGCACCTTGTTGTTAGAGAGGACTGGCAGAAAGAGGAAGGGAGCAGAGCAGACAGCATCTCCTGGCCTGAACACGTGCTGGTGCTGCAGGCCCCACTGGGCAGTGCTTCATCAGGATGATTACAGACCCTGCTCCCTGAAGGTAACCAAGGTAGAGGGAAGGGAGATTCAAAGAATTTTCTTCCCACTTGAGAGCCAGCTGGCAATTACATTACTTCTATTACCATCCACTCACTGAAAAGTAAAGAAGGGGAGGGGGAACATGGGGCCATCTGTAATATCCTCAACAATAAAAAAAATTTTAAACAGTGTGGGGGGAGAATCAGAAGACAGAAAAAGCGGTGGAAAGGATGAAAAGATAATGAAAATTATAGCAGCTGGCACATGTGCCACATTTGTGGTTTACTTACATTTAGTCCAGTGACAAAAGAGGAAAATGAGTGGGGGGGAGGGGAGGAAAAAGTAGAAGATATAGCACAGAACTAAAGTAACATCAACATATAATTTAAGAAATGGAAGCAAAAGATAAGGGTTCACAGTGGAACTAAATCTGAGAGATATAGTCCTGTTGCCATTCCCCATTTTACAGTTTGGGAAACAAACTTTGAAATGGTCAGGAAAAAAAGAAAAAAAAGAAATGGTCAGGTAATTGACCAAGGGCATTCAGCTGATTAGTGGTCAGGGTTAGAAACAAAGCCTCCTGACTGGTATTTTGGTGCCCTTTCCATAATAACATGGTTGTAAAAAATACATTAACAGTAAATAAAGGATACTTGCAAAACTTACACAGGCAAATGATATTTCAACATAGAGTGTTAAACAAGATTTCTTACTGCAGGACTTTTCATTCCTCTTAAAATACCAGTGTGTTGTGAATCTAATAGGGGAGACTCAGAAAATCTCTAACTTTGGGCAGTCCTTCACTATGCTATTGGAAGTAGAAAGGAACATACTGACTTTGAGATTTGGGGGAGTAAAAGATAAAGCACCAGTTCATATAAAGTTCTTGATATTAGTTCTTACAGATAAAATAGTGCCAAGTTTTTTTCTAACTTTAATTATTTTATAACTAGAGGCCCAATGCACAAATTTGTGCACCAGTGGGATCCCTCAGCCTGGCCTGCGGGATGGAGCCAAAACCAGCTTTCTGACATCCCCCAAGGGGTCCTGGATTGCAAGAGGTGAAGGCCAGTCTGAGAGACCCCACCAGTGCATGATCGGGGCCAGGAGGGACACGGGAGATTGGCCCGCTGGGGAGGGACTGCAAGGAGGGCTCCAGGGCATGTCCAGCCTGTCTTGCTCTGTCCCGATTGGCCAGACCCCAGCTGCAAGTTAACCTTCCAGTTGCCATCTGACCCTGGTGGTCAGTGCATGTCATATCAATTGGTTAACCGGGGGACTGTCTGTCCCCTGGTGGTCAGTGCACATCAAAGCAAGCAGTTGAGTGGCCTTAGCATATCATTAGCATATTACGCTTTGATTGAATGGATGACCAGACCCTTAGCATATTAAGCTTTTATTATACAGCACCAGGAAAAAACTTTAATTTTTAAAAATGGAAGCAATAATATTCCTTTTCAGGACTTTCTTGAATTTGCTGAGTGCATTTCTTTAAAATAACTAAAATTATTCCCTACTCTATTATCTGACTTTCCCACAGAATGAAATATACATGGCATTGAGAAGTGCCTCTCTGTTCTCTGGAAAAGTTGGCAGATGACCTTAAGCTTCATGATTCCACATCCAGGCTCATAACTCAAGTCTAATCCCCAAAACCCAAGAATAAAAGCTTCTTACCACTTGGGCTTCGGTAAAGGACAGGTGCAGTTGAATTGTTGGGGTCCGGGGGGGTGGCTTTCTCACCCATTTCATCACTGTCAGACTCTTCTGCTGTGGCCTCTTCTGCTCCCTCCTCATGCTGCCAACTCCCGGGCTCTGGCTCCTTAGTCTCAGCATCACTGCTTGCCAGGCCAGAGCGAGAGGCTGCTTCTTCCAGACCTTTACTGGGCAGGGCAATGACCTGAGCACTCATCAGGGCTTCCATCTCTTCAAAAAAGGGGCAGGTCTCAAGTGGGTGGCCATTCTTGACTTTCCTATAGCTCTTCTGGAGACCTTTGAACTTGGTCCGACACTGTTCCAGGGTCCGGAGGAAGCCATACTCCCGGAGCCGCTCAGCCACAGCCCCATATACTTGGCTGTTTCGATGACAGTTTCGGAGAGCCGCATAAAACTCAGTCTGACTGAGAATTGCGAGGAGAGTTCTGGTCTCTTCATAGCCCCAGTGCACACCTGCCACCTTCTCATCCTCAAAGCCCCAGTGATCCTGACCCACCCAGCTGCTTTTCTCTCTCCTGGATGGTAACAGGTCAGCATGCATTTGTCTGTCTCCTGTGACACTGCCTCTTGGGAGTTCCTTTTCCTTGGAGCCCAGATCTGGGATCCAAGGCTCTCCTTGCTCCAACCTGGAGACCACACCAGATTTAGGAAATGGAAACCCTGCTTGCAGGAAAGCAAACAAAGGATGTCATAATTTGGACTGATCAGGAAAAAAAAATACCTGAGTTCAGACCTGCCTTTTTTATTCAAGAGGCTAATAAAGAAAATGTCTGCCCAGCCAGTATGGTTCTGTGGTTGAGCATTAACCCCAGAACCAAGAGATGGAGGTTCAATTCCTTTGTCAGGGCACATGCCAGGTTGTTGGCTCAATCCCCAGAAGGGAGCATGCAGGAGGCAGTCAATTGATGATGTTTCTCTCTCGTCAATGTTTCTGTCTGTCTGTCCCTCTCCCTTCCTCTCTCTCTAAAGAAAAAATAAATTAATTAATTTAAAAAAAAAAAATATATATATATAGTTTTTTAAAGTGTCTAAGGAAATATTTTCAGAAAGTACAATGTGTTAAAGAAAATGGGGAAAATACATGAAACCTCAAAAAATGAGAACTATTTATTTTCCAGAACAGGGTGATGAGAGAAAAGCTTGTTGTATGTTCAGAGCAGATAATTCTATTCCAAATTGCTCCCAAGCCCTCCTGACCACTTGTAGGCAGGTCATGGCACTGCTGGTAACAGTTACCTCCTGTCTCCTAAATTTCTCCACTTGGGGCTAGAAAATTAAACTCAGATTTCAAGTGGGAGGGAAACAGAATGGAAATCATCTTCTATGCATCTGTTTCCTTCATACTCAGTCATCAAGTTCTAAAGGTTTTTCCCTTAATATGTCCTCTATTCCTACTGCCACCATCCAAGTCTAGACTCCTCACCTTCTCACTCCCAGCTACCTGCAGCAGTCACTGTCCTTCCCAGCTCTATATACTGCTGGATCGTAACCTGAGTGCCTACTATGCACCATTCATATCAGGCTCTTCCCCTCCTACCCAAAAGTAACCCATTCTTCAAGCTGTATTTGCCAATGTCCCCATGAAATCTTCCCTACAGCCCTCCTTCATCTTCCTCTCGTAAAACTTTCATTGTGCTCACACAATAACAAGTTATTATTTAGCATTTTTTCAGTACAGTTCAGTCAGCACATATTTATGTTTGCTTAAAGAAACAAATTCAGCTTAAAGAAACAAATTCAGTTCAATTATATTATAAGCTCTTTGAGGATAGGCATCTTTCCCATTGCAGGTGTTGAGCACATGGTATGTGTTCACAAACTGATTAAGTCTACAAGCCTATGTGGGGGGTTGAGGGATTGCATCTGGATGACAAGAGACCAAAGCAGGCAGGCTGAGAAGTCTAGCATCTTAATGATAAAGTCAAAATTTAGAACAACCTCAACAAGTTAAAGAAATGATCAAGGAAAAAAATCATACAATATGGAATTTTACAGAGTACAAAGAAGAAAAACAAGCTCTACAAAATCATGTACAAGAATAAGTACTACATACAAAGACAATGGGGAAGGCTATGAGAGTCCTAGGAATTACCAGGTGAACAATAACATTAAATAATTAGTTGAGCTATACTGAAAGAAAATAATGAAATTCTGAAGTAAAATTCTTACTCTGCCTCAACCTATCAGACCCTTATTAGAATAATATACATAACTTAGTTCTCCATAATTGACATATCTGTAGAACTTAAAGTTTCCAAGGGAAAGTAACAAAAACTTAGTATGTCAGAATGGAGCATCTGAGGAAAAGCTTAAAGAAACAAATTCAGTTTATTTTGTAAAAGGAAAATGATTAAAAGGAAGATGTACCTTCAAGTATAGAAAACACATTTTATCTAGGAAATATGACCTAGGATTATCATTAACAAGAGGAAATATATTCGTTCAAAGTTCTGGCAAAAACTAGGGAACCATGCTCTGGCAAACTTATCAAAAGAGGAAATATAAGAATACTTTCTGGAGCAGAGAGCTAAACTATCTGCCTTCCGGAGGTAACCAACACCACATATTCTATCATTACCCTCATTCCTGAAATCCCTTTCCCACTCACTATTCCCACACCCCACTTCCCAACTTGGAATGGCATCCTATCTTCCCATATGAATCTACTCCTCACCGCTCCTTTGAAAAGGTCTGAGCTTCTCCTTTGTGTTCATCTGCTCCTGTGGTCCCAGGACTGGGCTTCTTGCCCTCTTTTTCTTGGGTACACCCCTGGACTGAGGTTCCACTGACTCCTGCCGAACACTTAATAACTCCCGTGATGATTTCAGGGGTGTCATCTTCTCCAAGCGTACTTCCTGCCCCTTCACAGAGACTGTGACCTAGAAACAACCCCCATTAATGGTCACTGCAAGGTTATTATGAGGGGCATTCCCAGAGATTGTTTAATACCCCACAAAAAAGACCACCATCCCTTGGGGACATGGCTAGCATTGTGATTGGTGGTGGTAATAGCCAAAGGAGTCATTCTGATTCCATTACTGTTAGCTTAGAGCAGCTGGAACTCCAGAAGAAAAAGATCAAAATAGTAAACCCACTACAGGCTAAAACATAACTCCCCTTTCTTCCCAATTAAGTAAAATGGAATCTATGAATAACTCATAATGACAGGGTAGCAACGATACACCCAGATAGCATCTCCAAGATAAGCCGTATTTGAAAACGTTACCTGTCCCGGGACCAGAAGGATAAGCATTACCAAGGGAGACTGTGTCCCTCTTTAAATGCCTGCACCTTAATTTGGCCCCTTATCCTTGCCCCTGCCCAGTCACACACTTGTGAATTCCCCTCCCTTCTCACCGAAAGTCCCGGTCTTCCAGGCTCTCTTTCTAAATCTTCCACCAGAGCCACAGCCTCCTCTCCACTTTCCGGACATTGCTCCTGGGCCCACTTCTGGATCTCCCCAGGTAAGATGGTCAGGAACTGCTCTAGCACCAACAGCTCTACAATCTGCTCCTTGGTGCGCACCTCGGGCCTCAGCCACCGACAACAAAGTTCCCAGAGCTGGCTGAAAGCCTCCCGGGGCCCAGCTGCCTCCTGGTAATGAAATTTCCTGAAGCGCTGTCGTAAGGCCTCTGAGTTAGGGCCATTCCCTCTCTGAGTGGGTTTGGCCATCATTCGCAGCAGAAAGCAGCTTCCCTCCACTTAAGGGTCTGGGTTCCAGGGCTCACACCTATCTTCCCATGTCCTCGGAGCATCACCTGCAGGTGAGTCTCTCTAAGAAGCGTTTTTTTCCTAGGGTAGAGAGAGATGGCACTATCAGAAGGAATATATTCATATGTCTGAAGTCTTGCCAGAGCTGGCCTGACTTCCCATATATACGCTCCATGTGGCCATCCGGGGGAGCACCAACTTCAGGATAGCAAGCCCAAACTGAGCATGGAGAGAAAACTTTCAAAAGCTGCATTTCCGGGCGACTTCCCAGGGCAGCCTGGCAAAACAGCAGAGAAAAGAAAATAAGTCTGCTCTTCTTCCCCCACCCCACCCCCAATTCTGATCCCCTTTAGCTCCTCTGCCAAGGTTACATTGTGAGTGCGAACCGTACGGGAGACCTGGAGCTCAGGAGCTAAAGCCAGGCACCCTCCTGCTGCAGGCAACACCAAGCCTCTGTCCAGCGGGCCGCGGCTGATCGCCCTCAGGCTCTCTGCGTCCGCCCGGCCCCTGGACTCCACAACTGCCAATCCCCACCCCAGACAAAAATCAAGTACTGAATCAAGTACTGGGTCTTTGCTTTTCCTCACAGCAGAAGGGACCGCTCAGGAACTATTCGGGAACTCCTGACGGGACACCTCCCGACTGGAGAGGTTGGTTTTGGCTCCTGAAGCGAGGGCCGGCGGGCAGGGGGAGAGAGCTGCACCGAGTTGGTGGGGAAAAGGGAGTCCGAGGGGGCAGCGGTCATGGGTCTCCTGAGGACGAGCTCGGGCGCTGGCCAGGAGATCCGAGCGCTGCAGGGCTCGCGGGCGCGGAGCTCAACTCCGGGAGCGGCGGGTGCGGGGTTCCGGCCTCTTTGTCTTCGCTGCCTCCGGCCAGGTCACTCTCAGAGCCGCGGTGCAGCCACCCCCCCCCCCCAAAAAAAAAATAAATAAAACAAACAAAAACCTTCTACTGGGCTAAGGTGCCCGAGAGCACCCCCCAGCCCACTCCTGGGAGTGTCTCTCACTCGGGCTGTCCCTCAGGCCACTCGCCCCTCGGCCCGCGGGCGACCCTCAGCCCCCGAGGTCAGCCCCAGGCCCGGCTCGCCAGCCTTCCAGTCCAGCTCCCGAACCGGAAGTCCGTGCGGGTGACTCGGCCCCAGAGGGCGCATGCGCGAAGCCCGCCGCCGCGACTCTAACTCCCGCGGAGCCGGGGCAGGAGCGGGAGGGCGAGCGGGCCCCGCCGGCGCCGGACTTCCGGGACGCGGCGCCTCGTCCGCCCTCCGCTTCTCCGCCGCTGCCCCCGCAGCTATTGATTGTCCCGGCGAGTGGGTTCAGGAGGAGCCGTCGATCCCGGGGGCGCGTGTAGAGAACGGAGCCTTGGGTTCCGTGGTTGCCTGGAAGGGCGCCGGAGGAAGGAGCGACGTATAATAAAGGGGTTCGAGCTCCGCCGCGGGCATGATCCACGAACTGCTCCTGGCGCTGAGCGGGTACCCGGGCTCCATCTTCACCTGGAACAAGCGCAGCGGCCTGCAGGTACGTCCCGCCGGAGCGCGGGAACCGGCGCGCCCAATGGGCGGGTGGACCTGGGCCGGGGCGAGGGGCGGAGTTTAGGGGCCGAGGGCGGGGCCGAGGGGCGGGGCGTGTCCTGGGCGGGAGCCTGGAGGGCGGTGCTCCGAGGGCCGCGTGGGGCGGACGCGGGGTTGGGGAGCTGGGCCTGGACCGGGGAGCCGAGGGCCCTCACCGACCCCGCCTTGGGAAGGGAGAGAGAGACTCCAATGCGCCTGAAGTTGAAATTGGAGCGAGAGTTTCTGGGGAACTGGATGTAAAAGTGAGGGAGGCATTTTCTCGCATTTCACGCTCACACTTTTTTAAATTTTGAAAGCTAGACCAACTACATAACGTTTTGTGGTTTTTTGGTTTTCTGTTTGTTTTTTGTACATAGCGTTTAACATGCAACAAGGGTTCAGCCAGTTTTGTTGAATGAAAAAATGAATGTGTTTCTGTCAAAACCCCTTTCTCGGGAAATTCTGCACTATAATAGAATTTGAAAAGAGGTCTTCGTGTAACCAGGAATGGATGAGGAGGAAAGGCTAATATCTAATTTAATATGCATTATTTAATTTACTCTCAACCACCCATCTTCATATCACAGATTAATTCCCCGTGTCCCGCGGCTGGTAATGAGCTAGCCTGGTCTTGAACCCAGGTCTGTCTGGCTCCAGTATCTCCACTACTTTTCGTCTACTTCTGCTTCCAATAATGTTATCTCACCCTCTCGATAAGTTAGTAACTAGGTGTTGTTAGCTCCCAGTTGACCAAGGAGCAAACTGAAGCTCAGAATGCCATGGTGGTATTAGCAAGATTTGTATATAACTTTGATGACAGTCATGCCTCTTCCTATAAGAACTAGCAATATAGGCTGGAGAGATGCAAAAAAATAAACATTCTTGTCTACAAAACCTACAAATCAAAGCAGTTCCTCTTGTTATTATTTATTTTCCCTGTAAAACTAGCACAACACCAGGCATATAGGAGGAACATGTATAGGAATATTTGTGTGTGTTTTATGATCTGAAGTAAAAAGATAACAGTAAAAAGATAATGTGAATGCATTTAATGCCAAAAACTGTACACTTAAAAATGGCTAAAATTGTCACTCTTATGTATATTTTGAAAATGTGGGTTGAATGAATACATTTTCTCACTACTTTTTTCTACTTTAACTGCTGTGTAACCTTATATAGCATACTGGGCTATCATTTAAATTAAAAATAAAAATATGTATACTAAATATATATGCCCAGTTATAAAGTTGCTTTTACAGGTTATAGTATGCTACATTTATTTACATTTTTATTGAAATGAAAACGTGATTTAAAATTTCATAGAGAATTTCTAAATCCTAAGAATATGTTTGAGAAACCCTGGGAGTTTGCTAAACACTTTGCTAAAAATAACTTGGTTGCGACCAAGTAAAAAACTATCTTTAAAGAACATGCCTAAAATATTGCATAAGAAACAGATATAGTAACTACCTCTGAGGGGAGGTTGACTTATTTTTAATGTACACTGTTTTGTATTCTTTTTTGAATTCTTTACCATGTGTTACCATTTATTCAAGTAAAGAATTCATTAGGTCGGGGTGGGAAACAGTACCTTTATATATAAAAATACTTTTGTTATCCAGAACTTAACCAATCTTAAATGAGCATCTTGAGAAAGGAAACACTAAGTAATACGGAGCATTTGAAGCACCTCAAAGACTGGCATGCGATGAATCACAAGCATCAGTGTGTTCAGTCTGCTTCCTCTCCCACAGGTATCCCAGGACTTCCCATTTCTCCATCCCAGTGAAACCAGTGTCTTGAACCGACTCTGCCGGCTGGGCACAGACTATATCCGCTTCACCGAGTTCATTGAACAGTACACAGGCCATGTGCAGCAGCAGGTAGGTTCCTGATCTCAGGGGATGTACACCTCCGAGGCGGGAGCTATGTTAAGCTTTCAGTGAATCCACTGGTAACTCATGTGAAATAAGTCCTAAGAAGTTATGAATTTCTCATCACTGGAATTACTCAAGTGAAGACCCAGGGACTGTACCCTGCACACAGGGGAAATATACACAGGGATTAATCAGGCAGATTGGTGTTAAGAGCACATATGTTTTGCCTGAGTTTTTTTTTTTTTTTTTTTTTTTAAATATATTTTTATTGATTTTGTACAGAGAGGAAGGGAGAGAGATAGAGAGCTAGAAACATCGATGAGAGAGAGTCATCGACCAGCTGCCTCTTGCACACCCCCTACTGGGGAAATGCCCGCAACCAAGGTACGTGCCCTTGACCGGAATTGAACCCGGGACCTTTCAGTCCCCAAGCCGACGCTCTATCCATTGAGCCAAACCGGTCTCGGCTGTTTTGCCTGAGTTTTAAGAGGCCTGAATTAAATTATTTTGAGCTGGACCAGAGTCCCACTTTCAGAGGTGAAAACATGAAGTGTTATTTCAAATTCATTTGACACTCTGCTTCTAACTATCTTAGTCATGTTGAGGCAAGCAACTAAAGTCTTTCAGCTTCACTTTTTAAAATTGTAAATAAGAGTTAAACCAAAGAAGGTGCTTAGCACATAGTAAGTACTTAATAAATAGTATCTATTTTATGAATTAATTGAAAATAATACAATGTAGAGGTCAAGATTTTGTGCCCCACACCATCATTTACTGGCCATAGACTGCTCAGCAGTAACCTAATGCTCAGTAACGAAGGCCCTTATCTATAGAATGAAGGTAATAGATAGTAAGTATCTCATAAGGTTGTGAAGATTAATAAACAAGATAATTCATGGAAAATACCTGGTATGTAGTAGACACTCAACCTTTTTGAAAGAGATATTTTAATGTTCTCTTTATTTTTAACAATCTGTAATTCTTGTTCATGGTAAGTAAAAAAGACTGTCAAATCGCCTGACTGATATGACTTAGAGATTGAGAATCGACCTATAAACCAGGAGTTAATGATTTGATTCCCAATCAGGACACAAGTTCAAGTTGTGGTCTTGATCCCCAATAGGGGGTATGCAGGGGACAGCTGATTCTCATCATTGATGTTTTTATCTCTCCCTTCCTTTCTAAAATATATATATATGACTGCCGAATTGTGTAACTGAATCAGTGATTACTATTTTCCAGTTGAAAGAATATTATTCAGAGTGTGTATACATTTTTGGGGACTCCCTGTATTTCCCTCTGTGTTCAAAGAACTGTGCTAGGAGCTAAAGCACAAAGATAAATAAAATAAAATCAGCTGTTTCATGAAGCTGTTGGTCTAGTGACAAAAGTACAATTCCAGCACTAATAAAAGATGCTATGAAAGCAACAAAGGGGGGAGCTATTGACTCCCTGGGAGAGTTAGGAATGGCTTTGCAGAGAAGAGATGCTTGAGTTGGATCCTGTAGGAAGAGAAGGTATTTTCCCAAAGATGAGTATAC